CTGAAGATCCTGAAGATCCTGAAGATCCTGAAGATCCTGAAGATCCTCAAGAGGAAGTTCAGCCCAGGAGCACTCCAGAAGACATCATGGCGTCGATGGGGTCCATTATCTCGATGTTCCTCAGGATGCCGGACCTCAAAGAACAACAGAGAGTGGCAGAAAGGATCATGGCGCAAGCCATCGACGAAGGTCGCCTGCCCGCCCTCATGCACTACTCTGGTGATCGCAGACACTACTATGAGTTCATCGTGCTCTGCCAGATGACCATGCAGAACTACCCAGCCATGTTATGCAACGATCAGCGGAAAGTGAGATTTCTCATCAGCCACCTGAAAGACATAGCCTTAGAATGGGCCAACAAGCTAATAGAAGAGAACAGGTCCCTGATAAACAACTTCCCAGCCTTCCTTGAGGCCATGTCAGAAAAGTTCGAGTACCGGCAGACACTGCGTGTGGCTGAAGACGCCATGTTCAACATCAGGCAGGGCAACCGCTGTGTGGCTGATTACATCAATGAGTTCCGGAGTCTGATACCCACCTTAGGTTGGTCAGACGAAGTCCTGAAGGCCCATCTGTGCCAGGGGCTCAATGAAGAAATCAGGCATTATTTGTTTCGGATGCCTCAGTCAGAATGCCTGGACAACCTGATTGTACTTGTCCTGCAACTTGAAGAGATGCTGGCGGAGAGAAGAGCATTACTCAGGCTGCCCCCTCAATCCCGCCCAAGAAGGCTAGCCTGGAGGGACAGACCTGCCCCAGAGAAGTGGAGTGTGAGCACCTGGCTGCCCTATGAGAAGCACCCAGGCATTAATCGTCAACACCTCTTCTTGATGCTCTTGGTGAGAGTGAACCCCTACCACAGTATCGCAGTGAAGGCCCTGTTGGACTCAGGAGTCGAAGGTAACTACATGGATGAGAGTTTTGCCCAGGAGAACTATGTGGAACTCTTTGAGAAACCTTATGCAGAGAGAGTCCGTGGTGTGGCTCGCCGCCTGATTGGCAATGCACCTATCTGGATGTGCTCTTCGCCCCTGCTGTGTGTCCAGCAGAATCACTACGAGTACCTTGAATTTGACATCGTATCTTCACCCAACTTCTCCATCATCTTAGGCAAGATATGGCTCCAAACCCATGCACCTGAAGTCAACTGGGGCAGAAGCCGTTGTACCTTCCACTCTCCCTACTGTCTGAAGAATTGCTTCAACCGACCTCCACCATGCATTGCACTAGAGAAATTCGGAATAAGCCTACTACCCGGATTGCCACACGCATACTCAGACCTGGCCGACGTGTTCAACCCGAAGGAGGATGATGAGACTTCCGACCAGCCAAGCTCAGACGGATCCGATGATCTTTCTGAATCAGAGCCCTCTGAGCTTCAGCAGGCTGGAGACAGTGATCAAAACGGCGTCTCTCTCGAGGGTGGATCCAGAGCGACTGCGAAATCTGTGAAGGCTGAGCGAGAAAAAGCCAGGCAGCAAGAGGAAGGCTGGATACTGTCTGACATGCTGGAGTACACACGCGACATCCCACAGATAATACCAGAACTGTTTGACCAGTTACATGGTGCTGCGTGGTTCACAAAACTGGAGCTAGTGGGGGTTGACAAAAGCGAGATGAGGTACAGCCTCGCACACACAGAAGACACATGGAGTGCATCGTTTGGTTATAGCATTGGCCAGTTGAGATGCTACAGGCCCTACACAGTAAGCACATTCTCTGATGAAAGTGAAGGCATTGCTCATGCTATTCTAAAAGACATCATAGGTTACTTTGTGATTTGCCATGGCAGAGAGGTCCTAGTCTATTCAATGAGCCAGGAGGAACACCCTAAGCATGTACGCCAAGTCCTGGTCCGCTTTCGGCGTCACAATATCTACTGCAACCTGGACAAGACTCAATTCCACCGGAAGACCGCAGAAATCTTGGGCTTTGTAATATCCTCCAAAGGGGTGAAACTGAGCAAGAACCTCGTGAATCTCATTGTGGGGTTTCCTGTCCCTGACAGCAGGGAGTGTCTCGAAAAAGCGATGCAGCTTGTCTATCCCTATCGTCACTTCGTGGACAACTTCTATGGCATCGCACAGCCCCTGGTGAGACTGCTGCTGAGTTCAGAGCCCTACTACTGGGGAGAAGAGGAGCACGAGGCCTTCGAAGCCCTAAAGAGGGCTTTCATCAAGTCGCCTGTTCTCCATCACCCTAAGCCTCACAACCCAGCCTTCCTGGAAACAAACATCACCGACTCATACCTAAATGCCTCCCTGGTCCAAATTGACTACGAAACTGGCAGAAAAGCTACCTGTGCTTTCTACTCAAGACCCCTGTCCCAAGCAGAGGAGAAGTACTCTCAAAGGGAGAGGAGGATCCTTCCAGTCCGGGCTGCCTTGATGGTGTGGTATCGCTACCTGGAGAACACCGAGGAGCCCATCATGATCCTTCTCAACACAGAGGATCTAGCCTCTCTGAATAATGACAGGCTCACCGTACTTCTCCCGGTGCATTGGACCTTCTTCTTCACACACTTCAATTTCAGTGTCATGGAGACGCCAGATCCAGATGACATCTATGCCCTGTACCGCAGATGTTGTAACCAGAGACACTCCAGAGCAAGGTGTCTAAGGCCATTGCTGCTTAGGTCCATGAGGGCAATTCAGAGGAACTCCTCCTCTGATTTCGAGTCCCAGGGCATGTCTGAGGGCGTGTCCGAGTTCGAGTCCCAGTTCGAGTCCCAGGGCGTGTCCCAGGTCGTGTCCCAGGGTGTGTCCCAGGGTGTGTCCCAGGGTGTGTCCCAGGTCGTGTCCCAGGGTGTGTCCCAGGGCATATTCGAGGAGTACCATGGCGTGTCCGACAACATGTCAGACCTGGAGTCCGAGGGCGAGTCTGAGGAGGAGTCTGATGGGGAGTCCGAGGGAGACTCCGAGGGGGGCTCCGAGGGGGGCTCCGAGGGGGGCTCCGAGGGGGGCTCCGAGGGGGGCTCCGAGGGGGGCTCCGAGGGGGGCTCTGAAGGGGACTCCGAAGGGGACTCTGAGGGAGACTCTGAGGGAGACTCTGAGGGAGACTCCGAGGGGGGCTC